TTATTTTGATATATCACAGTGAAAGATTTATCGTCCTCTTTTTTTTTTTTTTTTTTCCTGCCTAAAAAAAAAAAAAAAAAAAAAAAAAAAAACAAAACTTAAAGGGGCTGTGAGAAGGCTCAGTGGGTTAATAGCACAGGCTGCTCTTGCAGAGGACCTGGATTTGGTTCCCAGCACCCACATGGCAACTAATGACCATCCGTAACTCTAGTTCCAGGGGATCAATTGACACCCTCTTCTGGCCTCCACAGGCATTGCCTGACAGGTGTTCTTACATACATACATACATACAGGCAAAACACTCACACACATAAAATAAAAATAAATCAGGAAAAAAAAAGCCTCAAAATAAAACTTGCTAGTTAGCTTACTATTATCAGGTTTCTTTATAGCTTTTTTATTCATCCTTAGTTTTGGTTGATCCTTCATCTTCTCTCCCATCCCTGTTCCCCTTCTTGCATAAGCAATGCCCCCCAACTTACCCTCGGTATTCTTCCACTTTAATATCATGTGTGTTTACTATCCCCCTGCAAAAAAAAAAAAAAAAGCCTTTTCAGTCCCTTTAAACTTAAAAAAAAAATTTTATTTTGTATATGATTGTTTGGCCTGCATGTATGTAAGTGCACCCTGTATGTAACTGCATCATGTGCATATAATGCCTGCAGAGGCCAGAAGGGGCATTAGATCCTCAAACTGGAGTTACAGACAGTTGTTAGCCACCTTGTGCTGGGAACCAAACCTTGGTCCTCTGCCAGAGCAGCCAGCACTGTTAACCACTGAGCCTTCTCACAGCCCCTCCATTCCTTATTTTTAAGTCTTACTATTTCTAGTAGCAACCTTTTTTCTAAGCTTCTTTAGGTCAGCTTGTTTCTCACCTACCTACTTCTGTACACTTACAGCATGCACTTGTATTAGATTCATTCCACCACCTGGTCTCTCCAACCTCTTGACAGATATGTTTTGTTTGCACAGTTTAAGGTTCGCCTTTTGTGATTTATGGTTGTATGGTTGTATTGGTTTTATCAAATTCATAGAGTGTGGTAGAAAACAGTTCCTTCACCTTCATATTGTGTCCCCACCATTGTCAGCCATTTTAGCCTTCTCCTACCTCCTGGCATCCAGGTTATACTAACATATTTTCCTTTTCTCAAATGTCCTGTGATTAGAATCATTACTACAATATTTTTGGATCTAGCTTTTCTCTTAGTAACTTAGGAACTGTATGTTATATTCAGTAATATCTCTTTTTTGTGCTGAATAGAATGCTTTTGTATAGATGTACCATGTTCTCTTTACCCTGTGACCCGTTAAAGGGCGTCTTGGTTGTTTTCTTTTTTAAGTGATTATAATTAAAGCTACCATAAACATTTGAAATTTATTTTTTTGTTGTTTTTCCCTTTTTGTTTTTCTTGAGACAGTCTCCCTGTAGCCCCCAGCTGGCCTTGAACTCAATAGAGTTCCACCTGTCTTTGCCTCCTGAGTGCTGAGATTAAAGGTGTGTGCCACCATGCCTGCTTGAAGTTTGTTTTTATGTGAACATAAATTTTCAAAATATTTGGGTAAGTACTTAGGAATACATTTACTGGGTTATGTTGTAAGTATATAACTTTATAAAAAACTGCCAAACTATATTCCAAAGTGATTACTTTATGTCTGTATAATTACATCTTTTCCAAGTGGGTGGTTTTTCTAAATGTTTGCAGACTGAAAACATTGCTTTAATGTTGGATAAGTATTAACTATAAATCCAGAAAATGTCTTAATAGTATAGTTATTGTCTTTCTTTTAGCAGTCAGCTTCCTGATTCTCTGTAAAACTATAGTTTTTTAGAAATTTTTTTTATGTGTATGAGTGTATGTATGTATATGTACCATGTGTATGCCTCGGGTCCAAGGTGGGCAGTAGAGAGTATCGGATCCCCCAGAACTAGAGTTACAGATGTTGTTAGCCACCTCGTGGGGGCTGGGAACTGAACCTGGGTCCTCTGCAAGAGCATACAGTGCTCTTAGCTGCTGAGCCATCTCTCCAGCTGCTAGAAACTAGAAGCTTTTAATAAAATATAATGGGTTTTATAATTTATTTTGAGTAGCTAGGCTTTGTTTTATTTTAATTTTAAATTTTGGCTTGTGTTTTGAGCCTTCTATAATTTGCTTAAAATAAAATTTTTAAAAAGACTGCTCGCGATATAGTAGAGAGTTCTCAACTTGTATGCCCAGGGCCCTGGGTTCCATCCTTAGCACTCCACCCCCACATACCAGTAAGACTATATTAAGATGTTAAAAGCCAGTTCTTGTTCTTCACATGTACTTCATTATAAAAATTTGCCACCATGCCTTTAATCTCAGCATTTGGGAGGCAGAGTCAGGAGAATCTCTAAGAGATTGAGGCCTGCTTTGTCTACATAGAGTGTTTCAAGCCACCTAGGGCTACTTGGAGATCCTATCTCCAAAAAAGTCTTTGATTTCTTAAGATTAGTTTTCATGTTTTTAAAAATTGAGCCTAAAAAAATAAAAAAATAAAAATTGAGCCTAGCGCATAAGGGTTTTTAAATATATTTTTTAAGATTTGTTTTATTTTTAATTATGTATGTGTGTCTGTGTCTTTGTGTGGGTATGTGCACATAAGTGCAGGTACCAGAGGAGGGTAGAGCTATTGGATCCCCTGGAGTTGGAGTTAAAGTCTATTGTAAATCACCTCATGTGTATGCTGGTAATTGAACTCAGGTCCTCTGGTTGAGCAGTACATTATTACTACATTATTTAGAATAGCAAAAATTGGAAGCAGAAGTGTAATTGATTCTGGTTAAATAAATTATGCTATAAGATTCTATATCCGGCTAGGTATGGTGGCACACGCCTTTACTCCCAGTACTTGGGAGGCAGAGGCAGGATGATCTCTGTGAGTTAAAGGCCAGCCCGGTCTACATAGTGACTTCCAGGCCAGCTGGGGCTATAGGGAGACCCTGTCTCAAAAAGACCAAAAAAAAAATTCTATATCCATGAAATACTGTTAGAGCCATTTCAAACAACAAGGCTGGGGCTGGAGCGATGGCTCAGAGGTTAAGAGCACTTGCTGCTCTTGCAGAGAACCCACATGGTGGCAAGCAACCATCCATAACTGCAGTTCCAGGGGATCCAATGCCCTCTTCTGACTTCTTCAGGCATTGCATGCATGTGGGTGCACTTTCATGCAGGCAAAAACACTCATACACTCATACAAATAAAATAAAGGAAAAAAAAAAAGTCAATGCGATTGGCAACTATTTACTCACTGAGATAACTGAGATAATTATTAAGGGAAAAGAAGGCTGCAGAGGAGTTTAAAGAGCATCATTCCAATTTTTGTAAATGAAAATTCTGATGGTTGTGCTTACATAGTGCGGAAGCATGTGCCAGTTAACAGTGGTTAATTCCTGGTGTAGTAGGACTGGAGAGAAAACTGACATATTATTCACATTTTACCTGATATAATTTAAAAATAAAAAAAATGTGAGAAAAATTTATATGTTAGTAGACCATATTAAAATTAGAAAGGCACTCTCAATTTTATATGTAAAAATAATCTATAAAACATTCTTTTTTCAGTGGGCAGACTGGCTCAGGGAAGACATTTACTATGATGGGTACGTACAGATCATTGTTTGCTCGCTGCATGTCCTCTTTCTGTGAAGACCACTTGGACTATGGTTCAGGGGAATATGTGATTTCTCTATGTGGTGTTGCTCTCATATAATTAGGGCTGTCTCCCGCATTTCTGCCAGATCGTGAGCTCTGCATAGTCCATGTGCCAATCCTGTTTGTTGCTGTGTTCCTTAGCTCAGTGCATAGCACAGATGAGTGCTGAACACATTTTTTCAATAGGGCTTATATCTATATATGTCTCCATCTGCATAACTGCTGCCAAGATCCAGATTCCTCCTTTGTAATGACTCCCATCCCATCTCCTCAGATGCCTATGACCGTGATTGTTATCATCATCAGGTTTGCTTGCTTTGGAACTTCTGCAAATGAAGTTTTGCCTTATGTCTTCTTTTGCATCTGTTTTTTTCCTCCGGTATTGTTTCTGTTGTGTGTAGCAGTTAATTCCTATTACTGTTATTATATTATTGTATGCCTACGCTGAATTTTCCATTTTGTTGATGGACATTTGAATTTTTCCAGTTTCACCTTATTTCTTCTACTGTGAACCTTTTTGCTCATATGTGTTTTTGGGATAGATGAGCCTGAGGGATCTGCCTGTCTCTGTCTTCCTGATGTTGGAATTACAAGCATGTACCACTGTGCCAGGCTTTTCACATTTGGCTTTTTTGCTGTTGTTCAACATGAATTCTAAGGATTAACTCAGGTCTTTGAGCTAGTAAGGCAAGAGCTTTACTGGCTGAGCTATTTCCCCAGCCCCCGTTGATTTTGATTTTGGTTTAAATGGCTTCTAAATCATGGGTTGTATTAAGAAAGCTTTCCCTTTATGAATTTATAACAACTAAATACTTACTAAGTACTTAACAATAACTTGGGTACTTATGATGTTCTGGTGTTCTTCAGTGTGCTGCTGATCTGTTAGAGTATGGGCCAGTGCCCAGGTTCCTGTGGAGCTTATATTCTCAGGGGCTTACAGTTTAAAGACACTAATGTCTAGTAATTATGCCAGGGACTATTAGTGCCTTGAAAAAAAACCAGTGCATGGAGATGGAAAAGAGCAGGGGTTGCTGTTTGAGGTTGGTGGCTCAGGAAGTGACATATGAAGAGTTCCTAAGTAAAAGGAGACTAAGCCCCAAGACTGTTGAGAGAAGAAACTTCTCAGCAGAGGCGTAGCAGTTGTACAGGCCCTGCGGTAAGTATAGGCAATGGTATGAGGACCTACTAAGACCTGTGCAGCCAGTGACGTTTTCCAAAGAAGTAGACCAGTAGAAAGGGAAGTTTGAGCTTCAGCCAACCCATACAGCCATGGGAGGATTTAGGGTTTTGTTTTGAGTGTGTTACGAAGTCAATGGAATGATTTTCTAAACACAGGAATGTATGATTTGATGTATAACTAAATGACTCAGGGATAGATGAAGGGTTAAGTGGGACCTGGATGAGGAGCCACCAAGGCAGTGGTAATGGTTAACTCAGGATATATTGACTACAGTTGTATGTTATCCACAGGAAAATGTTGTGAGATGACTCCTGTGCTCTCTATTATTTTATTTACTTGCATTTTCTTATCTGTTCTGCATGCCTGCCTCCCCCCAACTCCATGTTTTTTTTTTTTTTTTTTTTTTTTTCAAGACAGGCTCTCTTGTAACACAAAGCTGGTTTCAAACTCATTATGTAAAGCTGTTTGTGGTGGTGCATGCCATTAATCCCAGCACTCGCAGACAGAGGCAGGCAGATCTCTGAGATCAAGTTCAGCCTGGTCTACATAGCTAGCTTCAGGCCTGCTGGGGCTATAAGGAGACCCTCTCTCAAAACAGAAAAAAAAAAAAAAACCCCAACCTCTGTGTAACCAAGAACATTGAACTTTTTTTTTTTAATATTTTATTTCTTATTTTATTTTATGTGTATGAATGTAGTGCCTACATGTGTGGAAGTGCAATGCCCATGGAGGTCAGAAGAAGGCATTGGATTCCCCTGGAACTAGAGTTACGGATAGTTGTTAGCCACCGTGTGAGTGCTGTGAATCAAACCTGGGTCCTCTGCAAGAGCAGTCAGTGCTCTTAACTGCTGAGCCATCTCTCTAGTCCCAATATTGAACTTCTGATCCTGTCTCCACCTTCCAAGTTTTGGGATTACTGGTATGCATACCAGTTTAAAGTACAGTTTACAAGGACCATTTACAAAATTTCAAGTGTAGTGCAACAAAACCTTGTACAAGACAACTGTAAGATTTTAAAATTATTCTCCTTGCTTTTCTTGTGCATACCAGCATTCTGTTAATTTCTTTGGTCTCTAGGACCCACTTAACCTATACTTATAGTACCTAGAAAGGTCATTTGCTTATTTGTTTTGAAATGGCATCGTGTTATATATATAGCCCAGGTTGGCCTTGAACTTGCAGCAGTCTTCTTGCTTTAGTCTCCTGAGTGCTGGGATTACATCACACACAGGTAGATCTTTTGTAACTATAGATGATTTTCTGGTAAATACTGTTACAGTTTTCTGTAGGAAAACCAAACCCTTTCTCTTGTTACCAGTTAGCTGATGGACATATTTTTCTTTAATCTGATAGAAATCATAGGTAGGCAAGGAGAGCTTTTCAGAGGGTGGTCATTGGCAGCTTTTGTAGCCCTTGGCATTTTGAATAGTGGCAGCGGGCAATTGTGAGCAGGAAAAGGTGGTGCCATCACAACTCAGGTGCAGGTCTCAGGTAGTGGGACCCTTAAGTCTGCAAGTGTACAGCTTGTGTGTAGGCGTAGAATGTCAGGATTCCTTAGCCCTTGGCAGCAGCTGATATTGCGGACAGGCATACATATTGGGACTCCACAGCCCTTGGCAGTGACCACTGTTAAAGCTCCCTGGCCTGGGTCCAAGACCCTTGGCTCTAAAGGCTTCAGAGCTCTCTGGGTCTCTTCTAGGGTCTTTAGGGGTTTTTTTTCTCTGTCTTTAGAGCTTTCTCTCTGTCTGCAGCCTCATCTTTCTATCTTCACTTCTAACACGTTCCCTGTTCCTGCCCCAGCCACTCTCCTGAACCATTCATCTGTCTCTTGTTGCTATGGTTTCTGTCATAGTTGATGCTTTGAAAGGCAGCTAATACTGCTTTTTTTGCTGTTGCTGCTACTGCTGCTGCCACCAGCCACCAGTCTTTCAACTCTGCCTCTTCAGCTGTGTATGCAGCCGGGATGTTCTGCTGATTTTGCAACATGGCCTTCTAGCTACACAGCTTTGCCTCTCTTTCATCTGTCAAACAGCCAACCATTAGGCCACAGCATGTTTATTTTTCTGCTGTTACTCCTAGAGTCTATTTCTGCCACTTTATTGTCTCTGTTGCTTTTTTTTTGAGATAGGGTCTCCCTGTAGCCCCAGCTGGCCTGGAACTCACTATGTAGACCAGGTGGGCCTTGAGCTCACAGAGATCCGCTTGCCTCTGCCTCCTGAGTACTGGGACTACAGACGTGTGCCCGGCTCATTAAAGGCATTACCACCCTCTTGGGCCTTTTCTCAATCCAGTCCAGTTAGCAGTATTAACCATCATACAGCCTGATGAAGAGATTACACAGAGGAAGGATTGGCAGAGTCTGGAACAGAGGAGCTTCTTTCTCTGTGGAAATGGGGTCTGGCTATTGAGGATCAGTTTATCCTTCAGCCTCTCTCCCTTCCCTGGAGGGTGGGAGGTGGGGCCTCTGGGCACAAGGCTAGTTGTGATGGCAACCAATCCTTCATCCTGTAGTTATCCCTGGGCTTTCTAAACATGGTCTCATTAGCATAATGTTGTTTTGAATAGGCTTATTGTAAGTAAGGCTTTCACCTTTATTGCTCTGAGCTGTTCTAGAACTGCTTTAGGAATGTAGGACACAAGACTGAAGACATTTCATTCAGCAAAAGATATTATCACTGGAGTCACTTAGGAAATAGCAATGAATACAGAACCTGGGAACTGGGAACTGTGGAGGAACATCAGGGTATAAATGTATCACAACCTTGAAATGGTATTCCTTAAAACCCTTACGCATCCACTCACCTGTTTTCTTCCCTGGTTGTAGCAAAATGGAGATAAAACCACTCTTTATTATTCTGTCTGCTAGGAAGCTGGTGAGGTAGTGTTACTATATCTTTCTTACCAGTTTGGCTTTTATGGCCCAATTTAAAAATAGTAGCAAGACTTAGTTTTTAGCACTTAATGTGTTTGAAAGTACTACTATAAGCACTTTACTGTTAATTCTTTGCAACGACTCTGTGGTGATTGCCATTACTGTCCCCATTTTGTAGTTAAGAATTCTGACGCTTAGAAGACACACCCAGCATGGGAGAATTTGGAAAATTTGGAGCTTACTATGGGGATGGATTTGTTTATCAGATCACACCTATTTGTAAGAAATGGTGGCTATGGGGGGGGGTTCCTATCAGTCCCACTGATGACAGTTTTATTCCTATATCTTTTGCAGGTATAAAAGTAACTTGTTTGGAACAGAACTAGGAAGTTGATTATACAGTGTATCATCTTATTTCTGTATAAGTTATCTTTGGTGTTGTCATTTCGAAGGACTCAGAATAAAAATCAGACTTTTTTACTTCGCTTCTTTTTTTCTTCTTAGGACCTTCTGACTCTGATAATTTTTCTCATAACTTGAGAGGAGTAATCCCACGAAGTTTTGAATATTTGTTTTCCTTAATTGATCGTGAAAAAGAGAAGGTAAAGCTTACTGTAAACTAAAATGTTGGTAGAATGCTTGCCTACCATGTACTAGGCTGTGGGTTTTGATAGTAAAGTAGGCAATAGATGAATCCAGTTGATTGGGAGAAAGTACCAGGACACAGATAAAACTCCAGCGGGATAGTTTATTAGCAAAGGAACACCTGGGACAGATGTCCTTCCGGGTAGGGAATATGTCTGACCAGGTCTTGAGCTGGAGTCTTTTATAGGGGGAGGCTTCTGAGGGGTGCAGAAGGCGGGAAGATATATTTTTTTAAAAGTTGAAGGGGGTGGGAGAGGGGGACTGTTAAAACCTGCTCCCTCTGTCTGTCAGCCAGGATCTGGGTCAGGAAGTGTTTGTTTTTGTCCTCTTAAGATAAAGGAAAAAGTGCTGTGCTGAAGGGGCTCCTGAGATCTCTGGTTAAAAGGTGGAATCTGTTTATCTTGTCTTTGGAGATCAAAGGAAAAGCAAGCTGCCTTTTAGAAGAATCTGCTGCTCTTGACTTCAAAGACCAGAGGCTTGCAAGGTCCCTGAGGCCCTGTTGGTGAGGGGACAGGGCTATCTGAACCCTAACAGGTTTGATCTCTAGCACTGTAAAAGCAGGGTGGTGATACACACCTGTAATCCCAGTACTCTGTAGGTAGAGGAAGGAGGATCAGAAGTCCAGTGTCATTCTAAGCTATATATTGAGTTTGAGACCAGCCTGAGATTGATAGCATACTGACAGGAGAGGGCTGCTTCTGAGGCTCTCAAAAGCAAGAGAGAAGGCGTAGAGAAAATCTCAAGCAAGGCAGATAGAGGTACACTAATGCCATTGTCTAGCTGAACTCAGACTCACAGGTGATTGCAGGTTACCTAGGTCCACATGGTGTCCTGTAATGATGGGTCCATTCTTGCTTCTTTGCAGCACATGCATACAACTCACTGATCTTGTTCCATATGGAGTGTGGTTCCATCATCCCAGGATATGATCTTTCTGCTCTCACTGGCTCCAGGTTGGGCCATTCTCATCCTTATTTAGCTTGGTGAATTCCAGAGCTAAGAATCTTTGGTATCATATACTTTATTGCTTGTGTAGCAAGGACAATGGTTAAAGCATTGGCTTATCATTTTCTCCTTTGCAGAAATAACCCTAACATTGTAGTTACATACATACTGCATACCAGTAAAATTAAGCTTAGCACCATGCATTTTTTTTAGAATGAATTATTTTCTGTCTTTTGAAGAATATGATACTTGCTTCAAATAAAACTTCATGAGGGGCCAATGAGATGGCTCAGTAGGTAAAGTACTTGCTGCCAAGCTTAAAAACCTGAGTTTAATCTCTGGGACTTACATGGAGTGAAAGGAGAGACTTGACTCTCAAAAGTTGTTCTCTGACATACACATGCATGTCCATAAATATACATAAATAAACAATAAATGTAAGAAAAATGAAAACAAAACTTCATGTATAAGTACAATATGGAAGACAGACATATGAGCTGCTCAGTTCCCTATCTCAGTGAGTAGGCTCTGTGGCACCTTTCCAAACCTCTGGACCCCTGGGACCTCAATGATGCTACTTAAAAAATGAAATACTATGTTGAAACTAGGTTTCTAGATTTTTTTTTTCCACTAGCTTTTTGATGTCTTTTATATTAAAGGATAATAGGAAATTATACCTGAAGAAGCCTGTAAAAGCTGAGGGTGAAAATAATGTTTGAATGAGACTTTTCTTTCACAGGCTGGATCTGGGAAGAGTTTCCTTTGTAAGTGTTCCTTTATAGAAGTCTACAATGAGCAGATATATGACCTGCTGGATTCTGCATCAACTGGACTGTACTTGAGGGAACACATCAAGAAGGGAGTCTTTGTGGTTGGTGCAGTAGAGCAAGTGGTAACCTCAGCTGCTGAAGCCTATCAGGTACCCTACCATGCGGAGCTGCTTGATGCTTAGGAAATAGGCATGCTGTGAAAGTACCCTAGTCTCAAAAAAGGAAGAATTGAGATGCTAAAATGTTTCATAAAAATATAGCACAAAATGTTCAAGAGAAGTAAAGAAAAACAGAATATGGTAATATTTTATAGATCATGTGCCACCATGTCGGCTTTGTTATTAGTGTTTTAGTAGCCAAAATTTATTGTATTTTATGCCTAGCACAGTTCAGACTTCTTTCATATACATTGTTTTACTTAATTTTCAATATAGTTTTATTTTTGAGACAGAGTCTGTCACTATGTTGCTTGGCAGACCTGGCACTCACTATGGAGACCAGGCTGATCTTAAACTCACAGAGATCTACCTGCCTCTGCCTCCCAAGTACTGGGATTAAATGTGTGTGCCACCATACCCAATGTATGAGTGTTTTTGCCTGCATGTAGGTATGTACACTGTGCCTGGTGCCTACAGAGGCCAGAAGAGGGTATCAGATTCCCTGAAACTAAAGTTACAGACAGTTGTGACCTGCCGTGTGTATGCTAGAAACTAAACCATGGTTGTCCTCTGCGAGAGCAGCCAGTACTCTTAACTACTAAGCCATCTCTTCAACCTCTCATTGTAGTTTTAAGGTAATGATACTCTTCTCCCTATTTTCCCTGTTTTATGACTATCCTGCTCAAAATGTATTTCTCAGACCATTAGCATCACTCAAAGACTTATTAGAAATCTTAACCCTAGGTTTAACCCCCAGCACCACCCCCTACCACCAGAGAAACGCCTCATCTCAGGCCCTACTTGATGCTGAGTCACAAGCTAAATTTAATAAAATCCCAAGGTGAGCAAATACACATTGAACTGTGGCATAGATACCCACCTGCTATATATATATTTTTTTAAATACAGAGGCAGAACTATTGTTCCGCTATACCTCATAAGTAGTGGAGCCAAGATTTGAACTTATGCTTGTTTGCCTGAAAGTCTGTGGTTTTAACCTTGATATATCCTGTTTGTTATGAATGGCAAGGGAAAAACTACTTTGCAGGGGAGAAAACTACCAAAACTTTAAAGATAACTTGGATATTTCTCTGTTTTTGGTCGAGTATTTTTTAGAAGTAGATTTTTAAAAAAATATTTTATTTTTATTTTATGTGTATGAATGTATGTAAGTACACCTATGTTGTACAATGCCCAGGGAGGTCAGAAGAATGTGTTGGAGCCCCTGGAATTGGAAGAATTATTTTATTTTATTTATTTATGTGTGTGTGCATAGCACCCATGTGTTCAGGTGCCCACAGAGGCCAGAAAGAGGCATTGGGTTCCTTAGAGCTTGAAGTTACAGGCGTTTGTGAGCCTCCCAATCAGAATTTTTATTATCTAGGTTAAAGAAAGGGCTACAAAGCAGGTGGGGGCAAAAGGCCTGTAATCCCAGCACTTGGGAGATGGAGGCAGAAGGATCAAGAATTCAAAGCCAGTCTGGGATTCCCAGTCTCTTTCTGTGACATGAAGAGGGAAAGAAAGTCAGTTCTTTGATGGGACAGTACTGTTTCTCACAATTCTTTATAGATATCCTACTGATTTGGGTGTCTCATATGTACTACTTGGAACCTATAATACATTTCTCACAAAGCTAGAGAACAGTGGGAAGACCTGCATGTTCTCCATCCCATTCTAGAGGGAAAGTATACTCACATAAATGTTGCAAAGTTAGATAGTTAGCTACATTATTATTTTTCTTGTTAAAATGAATAATTTTTTTTTTTTTTTTTGAGACAGAATCTCCTTGTAGCCCCAGCTGGCTTAGAACTCACAGAGATCTGCCTCTCTGCTTCCCAAGTGTTGAGATTAAAGGTGTACACCACCAGGCCCAGCCCAAAATGAGTAATTCTTTGTTTTTGTTTTTGGTCTTTTTGATTTTGAGACATTGTCTTCCTGTAGCCCCAGCTGACCTGGAACTCACTATGTAGACCAGGCTGGCCTTGAATTCACAGAGATCTGCCTGCCTCTGCCTCCAGAGTGCTGGGATTAAACATGTGTACTACCACGCCCGGCAAAAGGAGTAATTCTTAAGTTCTTGTTTTGTGTTTTGAGTTTGTTTAAAGTGTACCATATGAGACATCTTATAATACTGTTTCTTTTTTCCTAGGTTTTATCTGGAGGGTGGAGGAACAGGCGTGTGGCATCAACATCTATGAACAGAGAGTCTTCTAGGTCTCATGCAGTCTTTACAATCACAATAGAGTCAATGGAGAAAAGCAGTGAAACTGTGAACATACGAACCTCCCTACTCAACCTGGTAGATTTAGCAGGATCTGAAAGACAAAAAGATACACATGCGGAAGGGGTGAGGTTGAAGGTAAGAGGGAAATTATGGCCTTCATAATTACATGTGAAATCTGAATAAAAGTCAGTGCCACACTAAGTATTGTGAGGACCTAAAAAAAAAAATTGTTCCTATTCAAAATGAACAAAGATTTTTGTGCAGTCAGGGCAGGTTAACATAAATGAGATAGGAGCAGGTCTGTCAGGAGCAAGAATGACTTAATTCTTGCCAGTGGGGCAGAGAAAGAATGGTGTGTGATGTGAACTGCTTGGAGGAAATATGGAGTAGTAGTAGCTCTTGAGTTGACATCTCATGGAAATTGGAGTTTGTGTAGGGAGAGAGGAGCAGAGTGACATCTCAAGGCTCATTGGGCCCATGCAGAGTGAGTATGCGTTAGATGTTTCAGTGTGACTCAGTGGATGGGTTAGTTAGAGAACAAGGTGACTCAGGTCAGTGGGGCCCAGGAGTGCCAGGCCAAGTTTGAACTCAGCTTTCTAAACTCTGGAAAATTGAAAAGTTGAACAGATGAGCACTTTCATGAAGAAAACCCATTTTATAAACATTTAGATCCTTTAATCCACCATTGCCAGAATCAAATTGGGGGGATAGCCTAATAAGAAAGGAGAGAGCAGCCATGTGTAATCTTAGAGGTGAGAAGGTACCCAGGCTGAGGTACCAACAGTGGGACAGCAGTTCCTACTGTGTAATATGTATTGTCATTATGCATACAAGTATTACCATGAGAATTACCACTATAATATATACAAATTACGTAGTTTAGGAATATGACCTAGGAGAGAGGAATCAGAAGTGGTAGAGAGACTTGTGTTTTGCATTGAAAGTAAGATTTGGTCCTGAGCTTTTAGGTTATAAAAGGCTCATGCTTCTATCAAGAGAGGAAGCATAGTAAAATAACTTGTTTATGCAGGGACTCCTTGACATAGTGGAATTACCTCCAAGGAAACTTGAGTAAGCTGAGACATTATAAGTCACAAGTGCATTAAATACACCTGACCTGCTGAACATCCAGGCTTAATTGCATCTCAGGCTGTCTGGGAGTTGTGGCTCACTGCTGCTGACTACCAATGCTATTACACCATGCTTGACTAGCTGGGGGAAAGTCAGAACTCAAAATTGGAAGTATAGTTTCTACTGCAGTATATTACTTTCATACCATTCTAAAGCTGCAGTGTACTCCAAATAGGAAAAAGGTGATAGCTGAGCACACTGGCTTTTAACTCAAAAGTTGTCTTTAGTTTTGCTCCTGCTTTGCTTTTCTGTCCCAGATTGTCACTTTGCTAGGTATATTTTAGGGAAACCATCAAAAAAGTAACATTGCACCTACATTTTTGCTCTTTCTTCCAACTGTCTTAGGAAGCAGGTAACATAAACCGATCGCTGAGTTGCTTGGGCCAAGTGATCACCGCACTTGTTGATGTGGGTAATGGAAAACAGAGGCATGTGTGCTACAGAGACTCCAAACTTACCTTCTTACTTCGGGTAAAACTGATCATTGGGCAGCTGGTACCTTTTCATTATGGTCACTAAGATTGATAGTGAGGCACTTTCTCAGCCTTGGTAGCAAGAGTATACTTTTTTCCTGAAAAAGGTCTTAGGATTTCTCATCTAAAAATATACACTGTTGATGTCATTGAACAGGATTCACTTGGTGGTAATGCCAAAACAGCTATAATCGCAAATGTTCATCCTGGATCCAGATGTTTTGGGGAAACACTGTCAACACTTAACTTTGCTCAGAGAGCCAAGCTGATAAAAAACAAGGTAAAATATTGGAGTATATTAAGTGAGTCAGAAAACTGCTTAAACTTATATGCCATTTTTCGATCTAATACCACTACCTTTATTTCTTTATTTCTTCTTATTGATTGTACATAAGATTGTTCTTCCTTTTTCCCTCCCTTCCTTTTCCGTTTTTCTCCCTCTCCTTCTCCCCTTTTCTTGTGATAAAGGATTGAACTCAAGGCTCACATAACGCTAGGCAAATGCTCTACCACTGAGCCAGAACTTTTATATTTACTGATTTATTTATTTTTCTGTTTTTGTTTTTAACACGGTTATATATCACAGGCTAACCTTGAACTTGGTGAGCCTCCTGCCTCAGTCTCCTGTGTTGGGATTATAGGCATGCACCACTACACCTGGCTTAGACTAATTAGCCTAAACCATGCTAGCAGAGTTAGTGTGTGTGTTTATGTCTGCACACAGGTTTGTATACATGAGCCTACCCTGTGCACACATGTGATGCATATGGTAGGGAGTAACTTGCTAGTAAGAATTTGCCTTTCAAGTTTCTCTGCCTCTACAAATTCGCCATTTCATTTATATATAAGAAGCTTCTTTGACAATGGCATACACCTGGGTCAGAAAGTTTTTCTTCTAAAATGCAGGTGGCAACTAATGTTTCTTGGGCCATATGGTCTATTTCAACTACTCGATTCTATCTTTGTAGTAAGAAAGCAGCCACAGACAGTAGTATGTAAACAGTGGGCCGTTGCTGTGCTTCACCACAGCTTCACACACAAAGAGGCAATGGATCATATTTTGCCCATGGGCAGTACTTTGCTAGTACCTGGTACAGACTGTTGAAAGACCAAGGAGTCACCCACTTATTTTGGAGAGGTTGAAAACTTTGGTTTCAGACAAAACAACTGTGCCATGAGTTGGTAGATTAGTTCCTTTCTCTTTTGTAGGGAAACAGGACATTCTTACCCCTCAGGTCATCTGTTGGCCTGAAGTAGTCCAATTTGCCCCTTCCCTGAGTAGGTAAGAAGAGCATATGTAGGTCTGGTCTTTTGTCTTGTTTCTTTGGTATTTGATCCAGCTTACATGATTATGAGTAATTATGAGGAAGTCCATAGAGCTTCCTGACTCTGTAGCAGTAGTCTGTGGAGCACATAGAACTGCAGATATGTTGTCACAGATGTAATAGTGATGTCAGAAATGCCTCATAATGAGTCTGTCATAAGATTCAGAAGCTATTGGAAATGACTTCTTAACAAAACCAGGCTTTATACTAGTCCTTCTGGATGGTAAGCCCTGTAGCAGCCTATCAATGGAAAGCAGTCAGGTGCCTGGGGCTTGTTTAAGAAGAGCTCTTTAAGTCTTTCCAGGCTGACCTAAGACAAGAACACAGGGCACTTGGGGCTGTCACAGGGCACTTTTCTTTGCTGAAGTAACTGAGTATTTCATAGCTGGGCTTTTGTGGTCTATCTGGTGGTTAGCTGTTGGATTCAGAACAAAACTGAACAGAAATATAGAAAGATCCCATATTCTCCCAGTCCCTGCATATGTGCAAGCTTCCCACACCACAGTGGTGCATTTGTTTGTGGCCTTTTTTAACCTTTTAGAGGTGAAGATACCATTTAGTCACCACAGTGATAAATTTGTCTATAGCCTTTTTTGACCGTTTAGAGATGATCTTAAACAGGACATCTCTTTAGGACATGAAGATATCATTTGTTATTGTGGTAGAATAGAAATGGACCTGTGAGGTGGGTTTGGTGGTGCATGCTGTTAATCCCAGCACTCAGGAGGAAGAGGTCTGAGATCAAGGCCAGCCTGGTTTATATAGCAAGTTCCAGGCCAACTTGGACTATAGGGAGACCCTGTCTGGAAAACAAATAAACAATTAAAAAAGAAATGGAGGTGTGAAACTAATCCCTGCTTCCCGGAATGCTGTTAGAAATGGAAGGTTGGCTTTCTCTGGAGAGGGTGGTTTCTGTTCAGGCCTGCTCTGTCAGGGATTGTGTCCTTCGAGATTAGGCTCCTTTACCAAAGGACAAACTGGACAGAGGGGAAATGGCCCTGCCAAGGTGTTTGCTCCTCTCTGTTGGGAGGGTAGGCAGGCCTGTTCTCAAGAAGTATTGGGGCAATACACTCAGATCTGAAGGTGACTTGGCCTAACCTAGCCCAGACCTGGTCAACTGGGCAGAATCTTAAGTGGGATCCTTGAGAGGATGGACTGGTGAAAGGAAGAGAGCCCACTGTGCTGCTTGGGCTCTGGGTTTTAGCATATGCCTGCTAAAGCAAAGCAGCTTTCTGCCTGCTTTGGCGTACTGATTGTGGTGGCCTTTTGATGGTTGGTTAGACAGAAGTGCAGTTTTGTTTGGTGTTTCTCACAAATGAAACCCAGGGCTGTACAACTTGAAAATCAGTCTTTCAGTTCTTATTAATTCTTTCCCAGGCTGTGGTGAATGAAGACACCCAAGGAAATGTGAGCCAGCTGCAAGCTGAAGTGAAGAGACTCAAAGAACAACTGGCCCAGTTTACTTCTGGGCAAATAATACCAGAAAGCTTACTGACCAGAGGTAGTCCTTCATTCTAGGAAAGACTGGGTGGGAATGTTTGGTCAAGAACCCCCTGCTGATGATTAGATAGATAGATGATTAGATAGATAAATAGATAGATAGATAGATAGATAGATAGATAGATAGATAGATAGATAGATAGATAGATAGATATAGATGATAGGTGAACCATGAGTGACACTTGTCATACAATTGTGTGCATCTAAACACAGACACAAACACACACACACACACACTCACACATAGCTTACACAAGAGAGACAACTGCAGAGAACTTACAACAGACACATAAGCACACATCCAAGGAAGGTTGGTTGTTTCTTCCAATCTCCATCTTCTTGGGGATTTTTCTAGTTAGATTTCTAATGCTGTTATAAAACTCTCTGATCAAAACCAACTTAGGGAGAAAAGAGTTTATTTCCCACATATATCCAGATCACAGTTCATCACTGAGGGAAGCCAGGGCAGGGGCCTGGAGACAGAAACTGAAGAAGAGACTATGGAGGAAACCTGCTTACTAGCTTGTTTCTCAGGACTGTTCTCAGCCTGCTTTCTTAGACCACCCAGGGATATCTGCTTATGTGTCCCACCACCCCTAGCAGGCTGGGCTCGCCCACATCACTGAAAAATCAAGAAAATGACCCACATAGGCCAGTCCAATAGAGGAAATTCCTCAGTTGAGGTTCCCTCTTCCTAGGTGCGTCAAGTTGACAACTGAAGCCATCCAGCACAGCAATACCATTCTATAGTATGCAAGTTTTTGCCATAATGACAAATTCGGTAAAGGGAATAAATGATATTTTCTTACCACTTCTTACAAATATATGTGAATCTTTATATAAAAAATATAAAAATTTAAACATTTTAAATTTGAATATGATGGTATCTGAACACAACTAAGAACAAAGTAAAGTGTGTTTCAGATGAGGAAATCAATGGTTAATTGTGTATTTTCTCAGTTTACTTCCATGGGAACAAGAAAAACTTAATTTTAAAACATTTACCTTACTCTTTAATTACACGCAGTGTTTGTCTGTGTGTGAACATGTCCACCTGAGTGCATGTGCCCACAGAAGCCCAAAGACAGTGTCACAACCCCTGGAGCAAGAGTTACAGGATGCTGTGATCCACCCAACATGGCTATTGACAACCTAACTCAGAACATCCAGAAGAGCATCAAATGCTCCACAACACTGAGCTGGCCCTCAAGCCAACTTAAACAATTTCAAAACAAAAAGATCATGATCACTGGGTCTCTACTCCATTTCTCTCATTCATCCCCACCCAGTCCCCTTACAGCCTTGGACCCATGCAGGTTCCAATTCCTTCACCCCATATACCTAGACTAGCTATGTACCCAGGACTAGCTAAATATCCTACCATAGACCCCTACATCCTTTCAGAGGCATTTCCCCCACCACCAGCATATCAGCCTACAGATCAGGCAGACAGACATACTCAGCCAGGATTCTGCTAAATCAGATGAGGCCCACTGTATCTCTACTCCACCTCTCCCACTCACTCCCACCCAGCCCCCTGCCACCCTTGGAACCTACCATCATCCCTCCTGACTTCTCTCCTCCACCTCAATATTGCCCCTTGCATGTCCCTCCCACCTGTCCTCCTTTGATGAACACTGCCACTTTCACCACCTCCCCAACTGGGAACATCGATTCCCTACTATCCCCCATTCAGGTTCTACCTTTTCCTTTACCTCCATGTATCCTTTCCATTTTTCTGGCTCCTGGTGTTACATCAATATAGATAGATAGATAGATAGATAGATAGATAGATAGATAGATAGATAGATAGATAGATAGATAGATAGATAGATAGATAGATAGATAGATAGATAGATAGATAGATAGATAGATAGATAGATAGATAGATAGATAGATAGATAGATAGATAGATAGATAGATAGATAGATAGATAGATAGATAGATAGATAGATAGATAGATAGATAGATAGATAGATAGATAGATAGATAGATAGATAGATAGATAGATAGATAGATAGATAGATAGATAGATAGATAGATAGATAGATAGATAGATAGATAGATAGATAGATAGATAGACAGACAATGGCACAACATAGGAAGGCTTCCCAGAATTTCCTACACTCTCTCTTCTGCTTATTTCACTTGTTTAGGATAGTACTTTGTCTGATCAGGCGTTAATATGAGATGCAGTGAGAAGAGGAATCAAAATGATGAGAAATTTATCCCCAATAAGTGCTAGGAGAGATGAATGACTTTCATTATATTACTTTTAAATTTTTGTTGTAGTATATATAATCTGTATATGTTCTGTAATAGGACAGGGAAGTTTTATGTTTCTTTAAAGAATAGCTAGTAGAATTCATTTGAAATCCATAAAATCATGAGGTGGATGGGGAAAATTTCACAGGGTCCTACCTCAAGATGAAGAGCTACAGGCAATCAGTGGATGCTGAGGGAGGGAGAGATCAGTTTTCTCTAGAGACAAGCTCCCTGAGAGGTTTTCTAATCCACCTGTACACACAAGCTCCACTAAATAAACTTGATGCATTGTATGTGTGTGTATGTTTTGATAAATGTATGTATGCATAGGTAATAAGAAGAGGACAAGTATGGGAGGCAGTGGTGGGGACACAGTAGGAGTTGGAGAGAGACTGGGATGGATGGAAATACAAATAAAATACTCATGCATATATATGAAATTCTATAAATAAATAAAGCTCCCCCCCCAAAAAAATAGAATTATTCAGTAGACTTGACATGTTGAAAAGAGAAAAAAATCGATATTTAATGATACTACATTGAACGAAAAAAAAATCTTTGACGCTGGGGATGTGCAAATTAATAAAACCAAAAGTGAGTGAATATGCATTAGGTTGGATATAGTGCATATAGTGCATGCCTATAATCCCAGTATTCGGGAGACTGAGGATTGTGAGCTTGAAGCCAGCCTGGGCTACTGAGTGAGTTCTAGGCCAGCCTACACTGTAGAACTACAGAGTTAACATCCTGCCTAAAAATAGATAGATATATAAACCAAAAAAAAAGAGTATTTAGATCTCAGGAGGCACACCTAGGTCTCCTCCAGATTCATTATAGATTTACTTCTTAGCCGGCTATGGTGTTCTATTTCTAATTCTTTTTTTTTCTTTAATTTTATTTATGTGTATAAGTGTGTTGCCTGCATGTATGTTAAGTGTATGCATGTTCTGCTGGCGTGGGATGCCCTGGAACTGAAGTTATGGACAGTTGTTAGCCACCATGTAGGTGCTGGGATTCAAACGTGGGTCTTCTACAAGAACAGCCAGTACTCTTAACTACTGAGCCATCTCTCCAGACCCTCTAATTCTTTTATACCATATATAATCTATATATGTTCAATAAATAAAGAGAAATTTATTAGCTGTTCTTTAGAGAACAGCTAATATGCTAAGTGTGTTCATTAAAAACCCATGATCAGTAATGAAAGTATTCCTTTAGGCCAGTTGACAGCATTAAAGACTGTTTTAATTTTGAGAAACAAACATTTTCTCCCTTTCCCATTCTAGACAAAGAGAAGACCAATTACATAGATCATTTCCTGGAAGCAATGTTATTCTTTAAGAAATCTGAACAGGAAAATAAGGTAGGAAACTGAATTAGGAAAAGGGAATTCAGGATTCCTTAGCTTACATGATGTAGTTTTCATTGCCTTGAGTGAGATACATAGTGCCAGATGAATAAAGAAAAGAAGACTGGGAAAGTCTTGGTACTTGTTGCTGGGTTCATGAATTTAGGGAAGCTGAATTATTTTTCCTATTTAACTGAACTATGAATTTCTTAAGTCTCTGCTAGAAAGAATCACCCAGTTAGAAGATCTCACCCTTAAAAAGGAGAAATTTATTCAATCTAATAAAATGATTGTGAAATTCCGAGAGGACCAGATCATGCGCCTTGAGAGGCTCCAGAAGGAATCTCGGGGGAGCTTTCTGCCTGAAGAGCAGGATCGTCTGCTGTCAGAATTGAGGGATGAGATTCAGACTCTGCGAGAACAAGTGAGTGCATACTGACACATACTGTATTTCTAGGAAGGAGGTTTAAAGTGAGTGTGAATAGGTCATTGTTCTTATTTTTTTTTTTGTTCTTTTTTTGAGACATGGTCTCCTTGTAGCCCCAGCTGTCCTGGAACTCACTGTGTAGACCAGGTTGGCCTTGAACTCACAAAGATCTGCCTGCCTCTGCCTCCCAAGTGCTGGGATTAAAGATGTGCGCCACCACACCCAGTCATGGTCATTGTTCTTTAATACAGTGGCAAATGCTTTAAGTGAATTTGACTGATAGTGTGAGTTGCATAACTTCTTTTCCCCTTTTCCCAAAATAGCTAACCAGAAGACAAAAAGGAAGAACAGTGGTGTTGCTATGTAGCCATAGCTTGAGCCCACCCTGTGGCAGCTGTGCTTATCCCAGGCTCTTTAGTGTTGAGCCTTTGAAGTTTGTTGTGTTTGCTTTTGTCTGGGAGAATGAAGGTAACACAGGCACCAGCTTGATAGCCAAAATGTATCAGCTTTTTGTGTATATCATTTTAAATACCTGGCTAACTAAAGGATAAACTTTTTACTTCTATCTATTATGCATACTTTACTGTTCTTGGTCAGTTATTGTATTTTGAAGGGCAATTCAGTCTTGGAGGACAGAAATTTTCCTTATTTATTTTTGTGTGCTGGGAATCAAATCTAGGACCTTTTGCATGCTTGGTACATGCTGTACCACTGAGCCACACACTTTAATGTGTTGATTCAGCTGTTTCCTTGTGTGTGAAGAATCTCCCATTGTATACTCTTGGGCTTCTCTCCTAGTTGCCTTGGGTGGAAGTTTCAAGTACCTTAACATAACAGTTGTAGCAAATATATATTTCAGTATCACAGTCAGCAAGTCACTTTCCATTGTGATGCAATATGACTAATATTGTTATGTCCTCCTCAAATTTCTAAATGACTTTATAGAGAGACTCTTTCACTTAGGAACTTTTGTGAATATATGAACTGTGTAATTTCTCCATGTCACAGGTGGACCACCACCCCAGAGTTGCAAAGTATGCTATGGAAAACCATTCCCTCAGGGAAGAGAATAGAAGACTGAGATTATTAGAGCCGGTGAAAAGAGCCCAAGAAATGGATGCCCAGTCCATTGCAAGACTAGAAAAGGCTTTCTCTGAATTCTCTAGCACAGAGAAGAATGAAAAAGGTAAAAAGTAATTGTTGTGAAAAGGGGCTGTTTAAGAAAGCATTTGTAGGACTGGAGGGATAAAGTCAATAAGGTTCTTGCTTGCACGAGGACCCGAGTTCCATCCCCAGAACATGTAAAAAGCCCAGACATGGTAGCATGTGCACTTGTAATCTCAGTGCTCGGGAGGCTGAGACAGGTTGATCCCTGGGACTCTGGCCAGCTAGCCTAGCCTATTTGACAAACTCTGGGCAAATTAGAGACCTGCTTTGTAAAAAAGAAAAAACAAGGCAGATGGTTCCTGAGAGAAGAGTCCCGAGATTTACTTCTGGCCTCTACATGCCCATGCATAAACATGCCTGCAGAGACATGTATACCCACATTCACAGACATACAGAGAAAGAGCATTTATAGCTGGCTGTGACATACACCTGGAATCCAATCACTCAAGAGGCTGAGCTAGTAAGACCCCCATCTCAGAAAACATCCCTCCACCCTTCTACCTCTGCCTAAAAATAAAGAAGCTAAGGCAAAGGACTGTGAATTTGAGGCCAGCCTGGGCTACATAGTAACACCCTGTCTCAAATAACAAAAAACATTTGCAAGTCAGGTATGGTGTAGACCTTTAATGCCTGCACTCGAGAGGCAGAGGCATGTGGATTGCTGAGTTCAGTACCAGCCTGGTCTACATAGTGAGTTCCAGTCCAGCCAGGGTTATATAGTGATACCTTGTGTAAAAAGGAGGCATGGGGGTGGTGCTGGAGAGATGGTTCAGTAGTTAAGAGCAGGTTCAGTTCCTAGCATCCACATGGTGGCTCACAATTATCATTAACTCCAGTTCCAGGGGATCCAACACCTCTTCTGGCCTCCATGGGCATTGTACAACACGGATGCCCTTTCATACATGCAGGCAAGCATTCATACACATAAAATATAATAAACCAGGGAGGTAAAGGGAAAGAAGGAACCTTAGAAGAATAGTAGGAGACGGGCATTACTAAGGGAGAAATGTGTAAAAAGGGGGGTAAAGGGGAGGGGGAGAAGGAGGGCTATACAAAGAACTATGGGAATAAAGGGGAAGAAGGAGCTCAAGAGAGGTGGGACCATAGCATACAGAAACTATTAAAGGAGAAATGAAAAAAAATGGGGGCACTTTAAATGGAGAGGGTGGGGAGTGAGGATAAAACAGGAAGAGAGGGACTGGAGAGATGGCTCAGCGGTTAAGAACACTGACTGTTCTTACATAAGACCCAGGTTTGAATCCCAGCACCCATATGGCAGCTAACAACTGTCCATAAATCCAGTTCCAGGGAATCCGACAGCCTCTCTGTCCTCCACGGGCATTGCACAATAGGTGCACTTACCTACATGTAAGCAGTACATGGATACACATTAAAAAAAAAATAAAAATAATAAATAAAACATTTTTTTAAAAAAAGGCGAGGAGAGGAAGAGGAGACATAAATAGTGCCTAGCTAGTATAAAAAACTGGAGGGAATCTTAGCCCAAAAACTTACTGAAAAATTACACATGCAATATCCCTACATGAGTCCCTGAGTATCACTGAAGACTACATAACAATAAGCAGTGCAGAACAGTGCCAGACAGGAGAAACCTTCCTTTAAGTTGTTGGCCAGGATAGTCCAAGAGACTTCTAAAATTACACAGGCTATTGCCACAGTTCTTGATTGCCTCCCAGAACTTGAAGGTAAGACCCTATTGCTGAAGATAGGACATACTTTGGACATAGGATTTGGAGCAATGGAGCTGGGACTGACCTAGAAGTCACCTCCCCTGAAAGCTAGTTCTCTTAGCTTTGGAGAGCATTACACAAGTTGCTAAGGAAAAACGTCAGTCGATGGTCCAACCCCAGCTTCAGGGCCTAAAAACCACCTCAGTTACCAGCACAGCAAACAACATTGGTGCAGTAGTGGTACCCCCCCCCCCAATTTTATCTTGGGGGTAATCAACAACTACCTAATTGGATTTAAAACCCACTCAGAGGGAGGAAACTCATCTGTGGTAATGTAACCTAGCCAAATACACATAACTGGAGAGGACGTAGATCTTAGAGAAAACTCCAAGGCTGTCATGTCCCTAAACAAATGTAATTTCTTACTATGAAAAATATGGATCCTTAATTTTATAGACAAGTATCCCAGTCACCACCCATCAAAGAAGCTTCTTTTTCTTCCTTTTTTTCGTCTTTTTGAGACAGGGTCTCTCTGTAGCCCTAGCTGGCCTGAAACTTGGAACTCACTATATAGACCCGGCTGGCCTTGAACTCACAGAGATCTGCCTGCCTCTGCTGGGATTAAAGGCATGTGCCATTATGCCTGGCTACAAATTAACATTTAAGAAAACTTTTCTTGTTGTAACTAATACTAAAGCATTAATTTTACCTCAGGGTATTGAATTTTGACCTTAAAATTTTAATAATCTTTGTATTATAATCAACAATTATTATTCTACCTTCTTTAAGTTAAATTTTCTTATTTTTTTCTACAACATACTAATTAATTTTTTAACATTATTTTTCTCCATTTCCACTTGGAACAATCTTTATTTTACTGTACAAATCCCAAAGTATTTTTTAAAAATGTTTTATTTATTTTTTTATTTTTATTTTTTTTGTCTTTTTGAGACAGGGTCTCCCTGTAGCTCCAGCTGTCCTGGAACTCACTATGTAGACCGGGCTGGCCTTGAACTCACAGAGTTCCGCCTGCTTCTGCTTCCCGAGTGCTGGGATTAAAAGTGTGCACTGCCACGCCCAGCGGAAATTACAGATTTTTAACTAATCAGACAATAAAAAGTCATGTCAGTCTGGTTAAGGTCTGTATAGTGTGAGAGATGTTACAGGGGTCAGACTCAGGATTCACAAAGTACTGTTTTGGTCCTGTGCCTGTCATTACAATGCACATACTCTGTTGTGAGACATTCTCCATGTCTTGTACTGTGTGAAAAGTGGTTTAGTTGGCAGACTTAGTAGCTGTTGCTGTGAACCTGCTGGGTTTTCATAACAAATGCTATGTTTGTCCCATTCTTAGAGTTAGTATCTTTTATGGCATTCAGTCTCTGTCTTTATTTTTTAGTTGAGAAACTTGCAGTGTTTATTCTGCATTGTCTGTCTCCTTCCTTTTCATTTTTCTTTCTTTGCGGGGGCTAGGGATCAAACTCAGGACCTCAAATGCTAAGCATGCACTCTGCTACTGACCTATACTCCCAGCCCCTTCTCTTGCTTTTTAAGTTCCCCTTTTCTAAGCCTTTTACTATTCAGTTATGACTTGGTAAAAGAACATTCACAGTATTTGGTGTGGAAAGACTAAGATTTTGCATTTGAGGTTGAGTTTTTTCTTTAATATTTTTTGCTACAGTGCTCTATTTGTCAAGTGTTTGGCCTCAACAGTATCATGTCTTAATAATTTCTGGGACTGTCAGTTTCTAAACATCTACCGTTATCTAAGCAATTTCATGGTACTTATCCCATGCTGTCATACATTTTCAGTCTTCTTTTTTTTAATATTACTATTTTTATTTTATGTATATGAGTGTATTGCCTTCATATATGTGAGTGCACCCATGTCAGGCAATGCTGCAGAGGTCAGAAGAGGGCTTCGGATTACCCTGGGACTGGAGTTAAGGACAGTTTGTAGCTGCCATGTGGGTGTTGGGAATCGAACCCAGGTCCTCTGCAAGAGTAGTTGGTGCTCTTAACTGCTGAGCCATCTCTCCAACCCCCATTTTCAGTCTTCTAAGCAATCTCAGAAAACTAATATTTTCTGACAGCCTGCTGCCCTTGTTGATAACTCTTTTTAAATAATTTATTGCCTGCTCAAATTGGCTGCATGCACCAATTTTACAAGTTCCCCTGTACAGTGCTTCTCTATCCAGCATTATGCATGTTGCCCTTTAGTCATTGTTAGCTCTTCATCCTAGTGGAGAGAGCTTTGCCTTAGCTCTGTTTCTCTTGTGATCTTTCTGTTTCTTGAAGACAGCTTTTAGTACCCTCATTGGCACACTGTGTCACAGCCTATGTCTCCTGCTGAGGTATATGTTCTTACAGTTTTAGGAATCACCTTCCAATCCATTTCTTATTTATCTTTGTGCCTCAAAGGGGCACAGTTGATACCTGGCAGAGTACTTAGAAAAAAAATATCTTTTGTTATTTTTGTCTTTCAAAAACTGAGGTAGTTTCCTTATTATCAGGTCAGCAAGGATTTTCTCCCAAAGCTCCAAAAGAACCATGTTCCTTCACAAACACTGAGAAGTTAAAAGCTCAACTCCTGCAAATTCAAACAGAGCTGAACAATTCAAAGCAAGAATATGAAGAATTCAAAGAACTAACTCGGTAAAGTGACCTGATCACCTGTTTTCTTACACATTGTTGTTAATAATTGATAATTTGGCATTTTATTTTAAAAATGAAACTTTCTGCTAGGCGTGGTAGCTCACGCCTTTAATCCCAGCACTTGGGAGGCAGGAGAATCTACAAATTCAAGGCCAACCTGGTCTACATAGTAAGTTCCAGGACAGCTGGGGCTGCAGGGAGACCCTGTCTCAAAAAGAAAAAAAAAAAAAAAAATCATTTAATAATGTGTATGAGCATATTGCCTGCATATATGTAAGTGCACCTTTGTTGTAGCTCTGTGTATTCGATGAAGTATATCAGACAAATGTTCAAAGCAATAAACTCAACTTAGCTATTATCAACAACTTACAGAGTAAATTCTTCACCTCATTACCAAGTTTTGATCATAATTACAAACTAAATCAAGATTTTTTTTTTAGAAATTAAAGGTTTATTAATTCTTTTACTTGATGCTCATTGTGTAAAAGAATGAAAAGATAAACTACATTGTTTTATAACTAAGCTAATCCTACCCTAAAATAGAAGTGTTTTTAAAGTGACAGTATCTTGACTTGAGTTTGAATTCTGCCATTTACTAGTCAAATACTTTATCAAACAGTCACCAATCTTAACTCTGATTTGCACAGCTGGAACATGAAAGTAATGATTTGGAGAGTATTTCTGATTTAAAAGGTAACTTACCACCAGCCAGGTGTGGTGGAGCATGCCTTTAATCATAGCACTTGGGAGGCAGAGGCAGCTGGATCTCTGTGAGTTTTAGGCCAGCTGAGTCTACAGGGAGACCCTGTGTCAATAAGACCAAAAAAAAAAAAAAAAAAAATGCGGGAGGCTGGAGAGAATGCTCAGCAGTTAAGAGCACTGACGGCTCTTGCAGAGGACCCAGGCTTGATTCCCAACACCTACATGGCAGCTACGAACCGTCGTTAACTCCAGTTCTGGGGGAATCTGACTCCCTCTTTCTGACCTCCATGGCGATGCACGACACGAGTGCACTCACATACATGCGGGCAATACACTCATACACATAAAATAAAAAAGTAAAATATTTTAAAAAAGGTTAATTACATGAGAACATGAACTATACTATACTTTAAAGATGTTTGACATTACTTATTACAATATCTATTAGGAAAAAGCAGCTAGAATTGGAATCAGAGCTTCAGTCTTTGCAGAAAGCGAATCTTAATCTTGAAAACCTTTTAGAAGCTACCAAAGCCTGCAAACGCCAAGAAGTTTCTCAGCTAAATAAAATACATGCTGAAACACTTAAGGTAGGTATCTGGAGCAATGTTCCTGCTTAAGTTGGTTGCTGTCTCTTTTATTAATAAAGGAGACAGTCTGCCTAGGTCATTTCCAAACACAGATGACGGCACACCCTAGTACTCTCATGTACCCCAATGGCAAGGTCAAGGAAGAAAGAATACAGCATTTGGAATCAAATTCTACTTTGTCATTAACTTTAGGTAGGATTTTGTCAAACTAACTGTAGCCCAGGCTGGCCTTGAACTCCTGATCCTTCTTTCTTCACTCTCCTGAATATTGGGATTACAGGCCTGTGCCACCATGCCCAGTTTTGCAACATGCTTTTTGTAACACTCAAAGATAGGCCTTGGATCTTTCCATATTAACTGGGATCTATAAAGCTCGTTTTTAAAACTTGGCTTTTTCTCACCCCTTCCCACCCCCACTCCTCCTTTACCAGACAATCCTGGGATTGAACCTTGGGCTTCATGTGTGCTGGGGAGATACTCTTATTGAGCTACATCTCCAGCCTGACTTTGATGTTTTGAATGACTTGATGGTTTCAGGGCTCCCTTTCTCTGTGATGGATTCTGTTGGAGGAATGCTCTCTCAGGTGTTCATTTTATGGTGTCTCAGTCTTTGATACACTAGAAGAGCACTCTTTTCTCAGCATTGTCCCCACTACCTAGCAGGTACCCTGGACTCTAATGTTTGCCAGTCTGATGGGTCAAAAATGAGCTCTCGTTAAGTCTTTAGTTCTCATTTCCAGTGATATCTTTTTATGAGTTAATGTCCATTTGTATATCCTTTACTATGATAAAAGCCCAATGCTATTGCTTGCTTTTCTTAGGAATTTGTAGGCGTTATGTGTTAGTCTTCCCTTGGTTGTATATTTTTCCTTCCTGTTGCTTCTCTTTCTTTTTTTTTAAAATATTTTATTTACTACTTTTATTTTATGTGTATGAGTGTATTGCCTGCATGTAATGTAGTTAGTGCACCCATGTCGTGCAATGCCCAAGGAGGACAGAAGAGGCTGTCTGATCCCCTGGAAGTGGAGTTACAGACAATTGTTAACTGCCATGTGGGTACTGGGATTCAAACCTGGGTCTTCTGTAAGAACAAACAGTGTTCTTGACTGCTGAATCATCTCTCCAGCCCCCTGTTGCTTCTCTTTCATCTTTACATGTGATGCCTTTATGATACAGAAGGGTCTTCAAGTTAGTGGGGTTTTTTTGTTTTTGTTTTCTTTTTTGAAACAGTATTTCCCTGTAGCCCCAGCTGGCCTGGAACTTACTATGTATACCAGGCTGGCCTTGAACTCAGAGATCTCTCTGCCTCTGCCTGAGTGCTGGGACTAAAGGTTGTATGCCACCACACCTGGCCTGTTATTCATTATGCAATTTATATTCAGTTGGGAAGTTTTCTTCTTTATTTAAAGTTTGATATCAGTTTATCAAGTTTTCCATGATCTCACCCTGTAGCCCAGGCTTGTCTGGAATTCAAGGTGATCCTATGCCTTGACACCCTAAATCCTGGGATTATACATATCGCAGCACCATGTCCTGCTTCAAGTTTCAATTTTAAAAAATATTTTTATTGCCAGGAGCATGCCTTTAATCCCAGCACTTGGGAGGCAGAGGCAGGGGGATCTCTGTGTGTGAGTTCAAGGTCAGCCTGGTCTACATAGTGAGTTCCAGGACAACTGGGGCTACAGGGAGACCCTGTCTCAAAAAGACCAAAAAAAATTTTTTTTAATTCTTTTTTTTTTTTGAGAATTTCATGCAAGGTATTTTGATCATATTCAGACCCCTCTCCCATCTCCATCCTACCATACCTTCCTGTCTATTATTATTATTATTATT